GTCTAACAAAACTATATAATGGTCTCTCCCCCAAATAATCACTATTGCTCTCTGCGTAGTACACTGAGTAGGACATTATTCATTTTTATTCAAGTTAGGCAGCAATGAATTTCACTACCAGTTCCTCACAATTAAAAATCCCAGACACACTAAGACTGTCAGAGGATTGAGAATTCCAATAAAGGACTTCCCCTTTTTACAAACACCACATTACAAAAAACCCTGACCAAAAAACACAGCACATTATTTAATGTGCCATATGACCTTACACATCGTTACAGCATTTTCGAATGGGTAGGGTCCACATAATCAATCATTAAGAGTATACTCACATATATCTTCTCTGTAGTTAATTTGATCAATAAAACATTCTCATAATATAACTAGTGATTATATGCCTCCTAAAGAATCTAATATAAACCAGTCTTGATTTATAATAGAGTATTCCATTTGTTTCAAATAGAAATAGTTCAAATTAGTTTCAGTGAAGATCCCCTTTGGATCTCCAATTTATGCCTTAATATGACTTTTGCATCTTCCTTACTAAAATAATTTCCCCCTGAGGATAATGTGATATTAATAGAAGATTTAAAGAGAATTGGTTCAAAAATTTCAACTAATATAGTTCCAAGCTATTAATTTTCCAGAGTTAGGAAGGAAATGAAAAGCTCTTCCTTTACGGCCAAATTATTATGCAAGAATGTGTAATGCCCAAAGCAGGAAAAATAATGCTAAAAAAAAGGAATTCTCTTCTTCGCCTCACTAAAGAAATCTAGTTTGTTTGTTTTTTTTTAAATGCTACTTTCAAACCCATTATTTCCCAACAAATTGCCAAGTAAAAACATAAAAACACTTGGGAAAGTTGGAGATATTTAAAATAAGAGTGGGAACTCAAAATTCCGTTTCTCCATTTCCTATGCATTACTTTGAGTTAGATTCATAGTAGGGGATACCTAAGAGCCAAGATATTAAAAGTATAGTGTGAAAATCCAACAGTAAAAAATTGTGATTACGATGTTCATGACACTACATATTCATTAAAGTAACTTTATTTTGCAAAGAAATATCACACGGAAAACTTAAGATGGCTTCTATGCTAGAAAAACAAAAAGCTTTTTATTAAAATAATTCATATGACAGAAGACAAAATACTAAGAAGGGTAAAAAAAAGCAGTAACTTTCACTAATATTCAAGTCATGAGATAGCAAACAGAAGTATAATTAGGGAAATATTTACTTACAAAAAACTGTCTTATAGTCAAGTCTTAAAACTTAACCCTTCCTTTTGACTTTTCCATAAAAGTTACAGTAAGAGAAAACTGGTTTGATTTTGGAATAACATACAAAGGTTATTCAAGTACCACCTTTTTATAGACATAACTGATTTATACAAAATTTTAGGGTACATGTTTAACTTCTCTCCTAACCAATACAAGTGTCCATTTACTCAAACTTTTCTCAGTAAAGTGGTAACTTCAACATTTCATTTATCAAGTTTACCAGTGGACGTAAGACACCTGAAAATTATGTAATTCTTAAATTTGTTATCTGTCTGAGTCACAGAACTACAGAGGTATCAAAGACACTACATCTTAAATTAGGTATCTATATATCTTCAACAAATTATGCCACCCTTAAAAAATCCCTCCCACCCCCAGTACTCAAAGTATGTAAGAGTCTATTTCAATTATCTCTATTAGAATTAGGACAAGCAGCTTCACTCTTAAATATTTCAGTATGTTGTTGGATGGTGGGTGCAACAGAAAACGTCTCCAACTAAGGATTCTTAAGAGGTGTAATTATTGAGGTTATAAAATATTCCAATGGAATATTATCGTGTGGTAAAATTTTTTTAAAACATTCGAATCCCGCCCCCATGACTCAGTTACAGTGAAAAGCGTATGTTCTAATTAGACAGGTGAAAACTCAGAATTCATTTAATGCATATTTCTTCTTTATACTTCCAAGAATAAACCACATAAACACCATTCTGCATTTGCTAGACGTTGTCCTGTATGTTAACTGTTACTGTTCTGACAAAAATGCTATCTGGATAGAATGGTGGCTTAAACACAAAAAGAAACAAAAGTAATCTAGGTTTACGTTTTGGCCTCTTCATTCCCTCTCTACCCCACAATATACACATAAAAACACAACCTTTTTTTTTTTTTTTTTTAAACCAAATAAAAGCCAACTTTGGTTGAAAACAAATGGGGACTTCTCATGTATACATACTGCATAAAATATTGTTCAGTTAGGCTGAAAGTGAACCTCAAAATAATCATTTTGAAACCATAGTTCAATATACTATACTAACTTTACCATATGATATGATTTGTTGGGCTACCTGAAAATTAGTAATCTATCCATACTAACAGGTCTATAATATCCAAACTTTTATCTCAAAATGTGTAGTGTATACGCATACATACCACACACACATCACCTTCCCACTTTTCACAGGGCTCTACATTAACATTTGCTCTAATGTGGTGAGGTTTTAAAAATATTAAAAATCACAAGCATTTCCAGATGACCTTTCAACCTTAATGTTCAATGCATAACTTTGGGATTAAGAATGCAGATTTCAGTATCCAGTGGCATTTCCAATAATTAAAACTTATCCTTGAGGTTAAATTTAATAGTTTGAAGAGAAAATAACCAGTAAGGTTTTCCTAAAAGTGAAAAGTGGAAAATTTCAAAACATTTCATGTCTCCAAATCAAGAACATCAAATTTTGTTAATTTACTGAAGTTCAACAATAGTGATACCAGCTTTACGAGGCTGTTAATTATGTAACACAAGGTAAACTACATAAAATTATATATCGAATACTTTTCATGTTTATTAACACCACAGTCAAACATGAATATTAATATAGAGCCTTCTCTACCAAAAGAGTATAAAAATCCTACGTTTAATTAAATTTAGGGGCCTTCACCAAACTTGCTGCAAGTTTGGGGACATAAATATCCAACAGCCATCAAGCTGTGAAAGCCCCTATAAGGAATAAAATAAATCCCACTTGCCTCAGACTGAACAGGGCAACACTGAGACTCAGCCTCAGCCTGTCCTATGGCAGGGCTATAGGAAGAAGAAAATTTTAATTTTAGAAAAACATTACCCAATTAATTTAAAAGACATGCATTAAAAAAAAAAATCCCAATGATCAAGCAAGCAAAGGAAAAAAAAAAGTAGCTCTTAAAAAAAAACCCTGTCTACTATAATTCCACTCTAAACCCATTATTTTTGTTGGAGATCTCCCCTTCCAAACACCTATTTAATTAAGCTGGTTTAAGTTCAATATGTAATTTGATCAGTGGATGGACACACTAAGACTATTTTCCCCACTCCTAATACAAAAAGTGTGAGATACTACCAAAATAGTACGTATTCAAATCAAATAATCCCAGCAGCCACTCAAAAGCTGTTCCTCACCTGCTAATCTTGTTACTGTCTGTCATACAGTAGTAAAATCTATACAATAGAAACTAGTGCCAGACAAATGTTTAAGTCATCTTTGTTTTCTTTTTAAAAACGTGACTGTAAGAGTGGATGTAAGGTAAAGCCAAGGCTGGCAGCCCCATTAAGCTTACAACTTCCTAAATTATGGCAACTACAACGCCTGCCTGGATAGTCTCAAAAGTTGTCTTCAACTTCATCTATTAATGAGCATAAATCAAACTAAGAGTTAATTATTTCAATGTAATTTGTTCCAATCATGATTTCACCACACTATGGACCCCAGAAGCAGTTAAAGGTATTTTCTAGAAGCTTAATTATGCTGATATGTGCCCAAATTACTCTGTAAAAATACCAAATGAGGACCACCTACAGAACAGAGGATGTCGTATGGATAAGTTTTTTAAATGCCATGCATAACACGTTCAACTGACTTTTAATGAGAAGTCTATCAATTTTTTAATATTAGTGATTTTTTTCTCCTTTGAGACCTCAGAAAGCAATAAACTTTGACATAAATTATCAGTTCTCTTTGCATTAAATGCAAATAAAGCCTTGCATAATTTTTGAAACATCATGCCATTTTTACCTTAAAGATTTTTAACAGGTTTTTCTTTGGCAGTATGATAAATGTACTGCCAAATCTAAGAAGTACATGTCAATTCCAAAATTATTTAAGTAGGCAGGTGTTTGATGGGAGAAGGTGTATGAAGCTTTGCTGCTAGGAGGAGGTTGAAATACATTCTTGGTGATACACAGATGTTGCCTTTTCAATCTATGGAAATTTTTGAACCTCAACGGCACCACGGCACAGGAACTATAAAACCACTGGAGCAAAAGATCAGATTTAAAATAGCACTCAGCTCTGTAATACTTGCAGTGTTTTGTTTAAATGAATGACTTTTACTTGTCATTTAAATACAGACTCTTTTTGAAGATTAAAACATTTTTAATATTTTCCTACAAGGTTGCTTTTTTCCAACAAAACTTCAGATTTCATGTCTTATATCTACACCTTCACATAAAGGTTATAAAGAAATGTTACCGTTTCCTTGCAAGTCTTAACTGTATTGAGGAAAAACTTGAGTTCATTATAGTAATAACTATACCTTGTACAGGTCATTTATACTTAAATTAAGCATAAAACTAACCTGTAAAAGATTTTAAAAAATGGATGCCAAAAAAGGTCAACAGGAGCTATTATTACATGAGACTTGCAGCCTAAGATACAGAATAGTTATCTCTACAGAAAAGTTCTCCATAGGAACACAGTAACATTCAAACATTCAAGGATAAAAAGGTTAACAGTAAAGCCATTTAGGCTTAATAACAGAAAGTAGCCATCTAATCAAAGACATAATGTAATCTTCCAGGAACATAATCTTTAAAAAATCCATCTGTTAACCAACCTAACAGAGGCACATTTAGATTCTCGCATTACACTTAGAGTATGTACCAATCCATTAATAGCACAAAAAGCTTTTTACTGCTTGCACCTAAGCTTCTAGAATTTTGCACCTGAAAAGCTTCTGAGGTCCACGCAGTACTGCAGTCTCAAAAATAATCAGAAGAAAATGAATGGGTCTGGCACTAGGCTCTAAATATCATCAGC